TTTTAATATTACATGTATTAAGTATGCATCTAATGTATATTTGTGGTAAAAATTGCATGGGACGTCCTATTTGGTCGACCCCATTTAATCTATACCCATATTTTAAAATTATTTAACCTATACCCTAATTTTTACAACTTCAGGCGCCTCATTCTTTCTGCTACCTGTGCGCTCCTTTCTTTGTTAGTCTCTTAGAACATCTTGTTTTTAATAATGTGATACTTCACATCATTTGTATTTGTGCAGATGCTTACATCACAATGCTTGGGGTGAACTGCTTTTCTCAGTGCTTTTCACGTTTATTGTTTTTAAAATTTATGATTTAGATACTGTTGGCAATCTGATTATTTTATAGTAGTAATACATTATGAAAAAATAAGGTGGTTATTTATCTAGTATGTTAGAAAGCTTTTTCAAAAGTTTCAGCTTATATAGTGCTGAAGTTTTTACAAATGAACTAAATAACTTCAGCATCTTCTGCTGAAGTTTTTGAAAAAGCTTTATGAAAAAAAACAATGGATCGAGGACAAAACTTCAGCTAAAACATGCTGAAGTTCAGCAAATAGAGAACAAAACTTCAGCTAGTAGACTGCTTAAATTCAGCAATTACAAACAATTTCAGGCCCGTCTCCTAGAATGCTGAAGTTTGCGTGATTGCCTTTGCTACTTCAGGCCCATATGCCTGAAGTTTACGCGAAAAGTGAGTACGTTTGAAATTGTTTTTGCAAAGCGGGTATAAGTTAAAACGTGACCCAAAAGCGGGTACAGATACAAATCTATTTGTGTGTGCGTGAGACTTTAAGTTCCTTTTTTTCTCTTATTCTCAACCGCGTATATAGATTTTTGAGTTTTAATTATTATTAATAAAAAGATTCCTAAATTGTAAAATAAAATTCATGCGACGTATAAATAGATAGCATTTAGAAATTTGTTAAAAAATTTAAGCATTGACTAATTTATAGAATTTTCTCTTTATTTTATGTTTAATTTTACAAATAGATTGAATTTTGATTGTTATTAAGAAAATTATTGATGCGGGCAAATTATTTATTATACTTTTTTTTTTATTTTTCTCATTTTCTTATTATTGAATGTCATTATGTTTGATATTGCTTCTTACTCATATTTCAAATATAATGTTTATTTTCTATAGATAAGTTCATAACATAGATTAAAGCAAAAAAAATATTCAAAAAAGAGATGAACGTTGTAGAGGATAAAAGAGGCATTTTAAAAAATTAACTTTTATATAAGGATGAGAATGAGTAGTGTTCAAAGTTGGAGCTCCTTCTCTCTCACGCTTCTCCGCAAAAACTCTTATCGCGGCTATCTTCGACGGTAAATTCACACACCGGAAGGAATTTCTATCAGCTTATTTGATCAAGTAAGTATCTTTTTATTTGTTTCCTGTAATATGTAATTAAGTATTCTTTTCGTCCTATTTTATGTAATACACTTTAATTTAGAACGGAATTTAAGAAAGAAACTTTTGAAAGTTTTAGTGTCATAGATACTTATACGACTATTCATATTTTTTTGGAACAGATTAAAAGATCAAGTGCATCACATAAACGGAAATGAAGAGAGTACTATTTTTTGCATTAGTATTATTACTATTATTTTGTATTTTGTTTGTTCTATAATATATTACTTTGTATTGTATGTAATATATTATTTTTATAAATATAATGTTTGAACAGATGGTATGTTTTCTGTTGTTTTATCAGCAATCTGAAAAATTATCTTACAATATTACATTATAAAAGGAAGGGTAAAGCGTAAAATAAGATTATTAAAATAAGGGCAATGGAAAAATAAAATAAAATAAGGTAACCATGTAGGGCCGGCTCTAGCATTGTTCCAAGTAAGGCTCTTGGTTTATAGATATTTATAAAAATAATATTTAGTACTTTTCATATAAAAGTATAGTTTTTCTATAACAGTTGCCTCAAAGAAAAGAAGTTTTTCAAGTTATATTAAAAGGAATTGTTAGAGGAAATCGATTATAAAAAAATTATTAACAACTTTGCATCTAGAAAAGATAGAAAAATAGACTTCAATAAAAAAATAATATATATCATAACTTTCTTTTAAAAATTTAGGCCTCACATTAAACTTTGGCTTAGCCACACATGTGTTTGAGCCGCCCCTGTAACCATGCAATTACACTAACTCCGCTACATTAAATAAAATTTAAGTAACAACTAAAACAAATATTAACACAGTGCAATAGGAAACACCCATCCAAACAAGCTGAGCTGTTTATATTCAAATTCAAATGAGAAATTCCTAGGAACTAAGAAAATAACCCTGGAATCGTTTTATTTGCCTGAAGTAAAACAAATGAAGATAAGGGCTTTCTTCTTAAATGCTTGTGTTTTTTTCTAATGGAATTTGCTGCAACATCCAAGAACAAGGTTCCAACATCTGTCGCAACAAATACGAGTACCACCGGTATCGTTTATCCGCCTCCAGATGTTAAGCACATTATATTGTTGACAAGACTGCACAGTTTGTGGGGAAGAATGGTTCGGAATTTGAGACTGGGAGGTTTGATTTCTTGAATGCTTCGGATCCTTACCATGCCTATTATCAGCACCTTTTGGCTCAAGTTCGCGCACTGAACCTGGCTTTCGGACAGCAGAAGATTCTTGAGTAGCTTAATTTGCCACTTTTAACACTTTTCTTATACTATCTCATCTGGCTTAAATTCAATTTTTTTTGAGAAAGTGTTGAATTGACGACTGAAAACTTGCAAGTTTGCAGCTGACAGAATAAGGTAAAGCTATATTATTAGCATAAAGGATGGATTGAGCCAGGGTCTATTAGAAACAAGTAAGGGTCTGCGTATACATTATCCTCCCTAGACCCCACGTGTGTTATTACACTGGTTTTTGTTGTTGATGATGAATTTCGGCTAAATTCAGCGCCCCTTGAAGAGTTTTGGGCAGAAAACCTCTTAAATTTCATCCTTTACATATTGTTGCAAACAAAAACGATCCTTAAAGTATGACTAAATGAGCAGAGCACATCTAACTGTTAGCTTTCCATCGGGAAACAGCCCAAGCCTCTTCTACCCTTACACGATTTTGCAAGTTCAAGAACTGGAAAAGATTTATATATTACACACACATATTTTTGACATTTTAATAAATCTCAAACTCCCATCTTCCCCAATGGTCTGTTCCTTACAAACCTATTAATTTAATACATCTGAGTTTTCTCAGCAACAATCGAAAAGGATATACATATATCTGGATCATATGATAAATCTTAGAAGTCAAAAAGAATGTAGGAACATAAGCTGGCACATTTTTTTTGAGCTTTTCTGAACCAAAATCTAGAAGGGCGTTTGTATATCAGGATTGCGTAACAAATTTTAATCTCAAAATGGATATATATGTCTGTAGAATTGGTTGATCAGGTTATATATATATACTAGTTAGTTCCTCGGCACGTGCGTTGCACGTGGATGTCGAGCCAAGTAGTATATTATTCTGTAAAATAACATCAATATTACTAAAAAGCTTTGAGTAAATAATAATTATACTTCTAAGAATAAAATGCATAGTTTATGTGAATGATCAATGATTGCTCGACTCATCTAAATTAGTGAAAATATCCAATTGATGTCGGAAGCAATACTTTGTGACCGGATTTATCTGTTGTATATTCTTCAGTTATAATACTTTGTGCGTTTATCTTTTCAGGTTAATTACTTTTTTCTGAAATATTTAAATATGTTTTTTCTGTTGATATATATATCAAGCGCATAATCTTGAGAATCATGTGATACACAAACAAGTTAAAGATATTTATATAGTAAGCATTATTTTAAGTAAGAAAAATATTAGTGGCTTAAACTACTTGTAATAGTTTACCCTAATTCTCACTGTGAAAAAAAGCGTTGGTGGATTTTAATGTTTGAGTTTTTTTTTTGGGTGCAAATTTTAATGTTTGAGTTGCATGTTAGTAATTTTCTTGATTTATATATATAAATAAAATTAAGTAAGGAATAAATAAATTAACGATATTAAGTATTAGATGGTGGTATGTACCTTGTGCCATTTGCCTTAGTTCGACCATATCCGTATGAACATGACATTGTTATAAATCAATAATTTTTAAAAATATCAAATATAAAAATTTTCAAATTTTTTTAGTCTGATCATATTAAGTTGAAATTAAAACAGAATTAACTTCATGATTCTTTAATATCTCATATTAAATTTTTTTGAAGACTTGGCTTTGTAAGAAACATTTCATTTTAGTTATCAAATAACCCATTTAAGTCATTATATATTAACTTGAATAAGAAAGATTAATGTGTAATAAAAAAATTATTATTCCAACTTAAAATTAATGTGTAAGCTATTTTGAAAGAGCTTTTCTCTCTCTTCACTCCAGCTTCTCTCTAAGCGCAGGTTAGACTAACGTGCGCCCTGGAGGTCCATGGGAAAGGGACGAGGTCGGGGAAGGGGACGACCTAAGAAGAGTTACAAATAGCTTTTGGAAGTGTCGTGCATGTTCAAACTAAGTCGATTGCTTCAACATCAAAGCAACCAATTGCAAAAATACCAATGGAACAGTACCCAGATCTGGAACCTTCATCGAGCTCAGTTGTTAAGGGAACTATAGCGGAGATGGTGGATGAAGCAAAAACTCCAGTACTAGTGATTTCACAACTGGAGAATGAAAATCAATTGAAACAAAGTGAAGAGCCAGCCCAAAAAGTAACTACTCCTGCTCAAGTGGAGGAGGTTCAAACAACAGACAAATGTGAAAATCAGGAGGCAAATAAGGAAGCAAATGAAGGAAAAGATGAGGATGTGAAGACAAAGTGGAACATCTTGTTTGCTGGAAACAGAGCTGCAGAGAATGATATGACCCTAAGCTACTTTCCACCTCAAATTGTTAATGGGGAGACTATAGTCCAGCTTGAGAAGAGTGATGTGGAAAAAGAAGCGGAGAAGTGAAAAAATGCCCTCATTGTCTATGTGATGGGGGAAACACCAGGATATTCAGTCATGCATAGGTACATTTCTCAAATGTGGAACTCTATAACTATGCCAGATCTGTTTTTGCATGGGGAGGGGTATTATGTGGTTCGATTTCATAATACAAAAGATATGAATGAAATTCTATTTTCTGGGCCGTACTCTATTAGAAATCGACCAATTATCTTGAAACCATGGACTCCTGCATTTGATTTCAGTCAAGAGTTTATGACAGAGATTCCATTGTGGGTGAAATTTCCCAAATTACCTATGAGTTGTTGGGGTTGTGGATCACTGGGTAGAATAGCAAGTGCATTGGGGAAGCCATTATTTGCTGATGAGTGTACGACTAAACAAACAAGGATCTCCTATGCTAGAATGTTAATTGAAGTTAATGTATCAAAGCCACTCCCTGACACAATTGTGGTTATGGAGCCAAATGGAAAGAAATTTCAGCAGGAGGTGGTATTTGAATGGAAACCTCAATTCTGCACTCAATGTCTAACTATAAGTCACATTTGCAATAAGCAACCTGAGCAGCAAGGAAGACCAATACAGAATAGAAGAAGAGGAGAGCAGAAGAAAGTGGTCCAGGAATGGAAGCCCAAAGATGTTTCATCTACGAGCCAACTGGCAGATACAAAGCAACTAGTCCATGTTGAAGTCACTCAACCTAAAGCTAATGAAGGTATGAAAATGCTGCAACAACAGGACAATGGAGCACACAGCAAAGTAACAACACCAGTTGAAGTGTCAAAGAATACCTCTAAAGGTAAGGAGCAGGTTCCTAGCCCAGAGCTGAATTTGATCAATTCCCACAATTGAGTGTTGTTATGTTGAGTAAAGCAAAGAATGAGAATGTAGGGACAAAAACAAAGAGAGGTGCTGAGAACAAAACAAGTAGAACCACCAGAACCAGGTGGATTGATCACTGCTCAATGACTTGGCTTATATGGAATATTAGGGGTGTGAATAAAGTGTATAAACAAAAAGAGCTAAAGAAGTATATAAGGATAAAAAATATCAAACTCCTGGGCCTGCTGGAAACCAGGGTTAAGCAACATAGAAGTTTAAAAATAGCTACAAATATTGCTTCAAACTGGGGGATAGTAAATAACTACTCTGCTGCAGTAAATGGAAAAATCTGGTTGATGTGGGATCAAGGTGAATATACTATAAATGCCCTGAAGGTGGAAGCTCAGTTAATACATTGTGAAGTTAGAGACACCTCTAATAAACTACAATGTGTTCTGACTATTGTTTATGGCTTTAACACTGTGGAAGAAATGAGAAGTTTGTGGACCAGTTTGCAAGATATATCAAATAGTACTAACTGTCCATGGTTAGTCTGTGGAGATTTTAATGCAATCCTAACAACTGGAGATAGAAGGAGCTACCATCCTGTGACTTTTAATGAGGTTAAAGAGTTTACAGATCGTATTAATTACACCTTACTAAGTGAACTACAATGGAAATGTGACTACTATACCTGGTCAAATAAGCAGCAAGGAGTTGAGAGAGTAAGTAGTAAAATAGACAGGGCTTTTGGTAATCATGACTGGGTGATGAACTGAGGTCATATTGTGTTAGAATATGATCTACCTAACATATCTGATCATGCACTTATGCTGTTGACTTTACACACTGTGAACCAAAAAATCAAAGCTCCTTTCAGGTTCTTCAATATATGGGGAGAACATGCACAATTTTTGGAGATAGTGGAGGCACACTGGAAGAAGAAATTGGATAGTGACCCTATGCAGAATGTTTGGAATAAGTTGAAGGCAATGAGATCAGCCTTCAGACAACTGAACCAAAGAGAATTTCAGGCAACTATAGAGAATATTGACAGGGCAAGAGAGGACCTTTAAAAAATTCAGGCAGCAATGGGAGCAAACTATGATGATACTCTTGTGATAAAGGAGAAAGAAACTCTAATGTAGTTAGAGAAATGGAGCCTGATTGAAGAAAGTATACTAAGGCAAAAATCTAGAGCACAATGGATACAATTAGGTGATTCAAACTCTAATTACTTTGCTGCAGCCATGAAAGAAAGATGCCACAGGAAACAAATCAAGGATCTCAAGTCCCTACAAGGTGGTCAGCTGCTATCTGATCCAAATGGACTAAAAGAGGAAATTATGTCATTTTATAAAGGACTGATGGGGACCTCTAATAGTACCCTCAAAGCTGTCAACAAGATTACAATGAGTAAGAGACCTAAACTTAATCACGAGCAACGAATTTTGCTGTGTGCTCCAGTTACTGATCAAGAGATAGCTGAAGGATTAGAAGCAATTGGAAATGATAAGTCCCCTGGGTTGGATGGGTATAATGCCTACTTTTACAAAGGCATGGAAAACTGTTGGTCCTGAGATCATAAAAGCAGTAAAGAAATTCTTTGAAAGCAGCAAGATGAATAGATCCATCAACTGTACTTCTGTCACTTTAATTCCTAAGAATGATCATCCAGCAACTGTGAAGGTGTACAGTCCAATTGCTTGCTGTACAATGCTCTACAAAATCATCTCTAAAGTTCTTGTATCAAGACTCCAAAAAGTCATTGCATTAGTTGTGTGTGAGGCTCAAACTGGATTCATTCCAGGAAGGAAGATATCTGATAACATATTTCTTGCTCAAGAGCTGGTGAAGTCCTATACAAGGAAAAATGTGTCTCCTAGGTGCATGATAAAAATAGACCTCCAAAAGGCCTATGACTTAGTGGAATGGGTGTATCTGGAGCAAGTCCTAGATGAGCTAGGTTTTCTTAGGAATTTTACTAAATGGATCATGGAGTGTGTTAAGACAGTGAACTATTCTATCATGGTGAATGGAGAACCTACAACTCCCTTTAATGCAGCTAAGGGACTCAGGCAGGGAGACCCAATCTCCCCATTTCTCTTTGCAATTGCCATGGAATATCTTAGTAGGAACCTCAATGCTGTGAAAGGAAGCAAAGAATTCAAGTACCACCCAAAATGTTCTAAACTAGCTCTGACTCACTTGTCTTTTGCAGATGACTTATTACTATTCTCTAGAGGAGATGCTGAATCTGTGGCTACTCTACATAGATGTTTCAAAGAATTCTCAGAAGCATCAGGTCTTCAAGCCAACAAAGAAAAGAGCTCCATTTATTTTGGAGGGGTGGCTCAAGGTGTGCAGGATCAAATCCTAAAGTTTTTAGGATTCCTCAAAGGAGAACTCCCCTTCAGATATCTGGGAATACCTTTAGCTACAAAAAAGATCGCATTAATCCAGTGGTAACCATTAATTAACAAGATGGTGGCTAGAATCACCTCTTGGACTGCCAAGAAGCTGTCATATGCAGGTAGAGCTCAGCTAATTCAAACTGTTCTCTTTAGTATCCAAGCCTACTGGTCCCAATTATTTGCTATCCCCTCAAAAGTGCTAAATACAATTGAGGCCTATTGTCGAAGCTATCTGTGGTCGGGCACAAACACAATCACTAGAAAAGCTCTACTAGCTTGGGAGAAGGTTTGCACACCAAAGTCAGTGGGTGGTCTAGGCTTGATAAACATGCGATTATGGAATAGAGCTGCAATAACTAAAGCTAGTTGGGATATTGAACATAAGTGTGATAGACTATGGATCAGATGGCTGCATGCATACTATATCAAGAATCAACAATTTTGTCTAATGGCTATTCCTCAACAGGCTGGATGGATGGTAAGGAAATTGTTCGAGGCAAGAGATACATTGCCACTGATTCAATACAACACTGTTGGTAGTTTGATTAAGCAGATATATCTTCAGTTAATGGGGAACAATGAGAAAATTTCATGGAAAACATTGAGATTTGGAAATAATGCTCGGCCAAAAGCGCAATTTATAGTATGGCTACAGATGCAGGGCAGACTTCTGACTGTGGATAGAATTGCTTCCTGGGCTGTAAATGTGGATCATGAATGCAAGCTGTGCAATAGTCAAGGTGAAACGAGAAATCATATCTTCATGGAGTGTCCTTATTCTGTCAAAGTCTGGGAAGGGGTACTAAAATGGATGAAGGTTCCTAGCTTCAGAACAACAAAATGGGAACAACTGGAGAAATGGATCATTCAAAAAGCAAAGGGTAAATCACAGAAAGCTCAGGTATTCAAGATGACATATACAGAATGGGTGCATACAATATGGATCGAAAGGAATCAACACAGATTTGAAGAGAGATCAAGGAGTGCAGAACAATTGGTGAGGGAAATTGCATATGTGTGTCATATCCGTGCACCTACTAGAATTAAAGAAATGGTTCGGCAGTTTGTAGTTAGTTAGTTCTAGTAGAAAGTATTTTTTTTTGTAGTTGCATAGTTAGATAGCAGACTGTGATGTAGTCGTGCTATGGTTCATTACTTGTAAATATTTTGGTGATTAATAAAAAATTTAATTACCAAAAAAAAAAAGAATAAGAAAGATAGAAGATAAAAAAATTTATGAAAAAGTAAAAAAAAAATGCAATGTGAAAATCTGGGGAATGTAAGCTTGAGAGTTGAGATGTTATCCGCTTTTTTCATCTTCCTCCATTAGATCATTAACCTCTAATGAAGCTACCCATATAAATTATTAGTTCAATCCACAATAAAATGAGGTTAACTGGATTAGAAAATGTTTAACATTATTCAATTATTTTCATCGCCACTATTAATCTCAAAATCCTAGTTTAATTATTTTGATTCTCTATGTGAGATAACTTCTTAAGAAAATTAATATATTGTTAACTCGACATATATATGGGATACTTGCAAGTAGTTGTTGAAAGTAAAGTGAATATGTTATAATCATAGCACCAATTTAAGTCCAGTTAGATTGAGATAAAATCAACTTTTTTATTCTTTTAACATCGTGTGAAAACATTTATGGATTTGTGAAAAATATTCCACTTTAAACATAAAGTAACTCATTTAACTCAATAATATCTAAACTTAAATAAAATATTTATTAAAATGATTAACTTTTTGCTAGAAAGAAAATGCTTCTTTTGGACGTATAAAAGTAATCAATTCAAATATTGATCAAATTATAAATATAGATAGATCTCATTCATATATCAAATTATCATCACACTAAAGATATTAAGAAGCATAGAATTTTTAAACGGTAGGAAATTAAATATTATTATTATTTTTTTAAAAAAACTTACATGTTGTTTGTTTAGGTCACAAAAACCTATAATAAAAATTAGAATAAATAGCTTTGTACCAAATCATTTTATTAGAACAACTGAATAGCCAATAGTTGCATTGAATATAATTGTTACAAAGCAAATACTATGTATGTATATGTTTTAACTGAAAATAAGCAACTCAAAGAAAGGAAAAAAGAAAGCAAAATACTCTATCAATCGACTATGAGGGAAATGGAAAAAATAAAAAGCAGTGTCGCTCACTACTGAAGTCCAAATATAAAAAATCAAAATTATCGAGTAGAACAACCATAATTCAAGATGACTTAATGTGCATAAAGATAAAATAATAAATCCATCACTTGTGTGTTTGATATGTCATAGTTAATTATTTTTTATGAAAGATATTATTGTAAAAAATATTTCTTAATATTTGATTGATGAGTGGAATAAAAGATTGGTCATCAAGAAGAAGAATCAAATCTACTTAAGTGCACATATATATACATCAAAATTGGAGGAGGAAATAGAAGATAATAAAAATGGGAGTATTTAAAGATATGTTGAGAGGCAGTAAACCCAAATGAGAATATTAAAAAAATGTAAGAGGCATTGTTGTATGAATGTATTAGCAAATGGAGAATTTTAGATTTTGATATAATGTAACCGTTCGTTTCTTTAGACTTTAATTTAATAATGACTTTTAGCTAGGATTAATGGGGTGACTTTGAGTAAATAGTTATAAGGAAAAAAATTACATTGGATAAATATTAAATCAAATTTTGATAAATTATTGAGAATATTAGAGATGGTTAAATTAAGAAGAACGTCTGATAAACAAATAAGGCATGCTAACTATAGCTTGAACTCAAGACTCTCTAGTTAACAATAGAGTTGTGCATACCGCTCTAACACTACCTTTGGTGGTTAACTGGTGCTAAAGTAAGCCAAGTTTAGTCTCTGAAATATCAATAGACATTGCCATCTAATTCCATCTCCAGTAATGCAGAGGCCAAGTGACACTTGTTTTATTTGGGTTTTTTTCATAGTATGAAGAAAAGAATTAAAAGATCAAAGAATAAAAATATGAAAGGAGAACATATGTTTGAAACATTAGTACCACAACCCCATAAACCTGGGGGAGTTTGCTTCTTCATAGTCAACTTGGCAAATATACTAACGACGCATGATCGACATGACATTTTGCAAAACCATCAGTAAAATGAGTCTGGAACTTCAGTCCAATAAATAAGGTATGTGCATTCCTTTGTCTCGACATCACGAGCCTTCACTTCATAAGAATGGGAATTCACACATTATTCTTTAATAAAATTTGACATGAGCCAAAAGAACAACTTCATTTGTTTTATAATCTAGAACAAAAGAAAAACTCATAAGCTTACGGATCACTTCACTATATAAGTTTTGTGGCTTTTATAATATAATTTTTTCAATTAGAAGTGGAACAATCTGAATGGGTGCGGATAGTTGAATGCACCCTAAGTGAGGTAGTTAGGTTTTTTCCAGAGACAATGGTTGAACAAAACCTTTTGAAATCCAATGGTTAAAACTATTTTTGAAAGAAAGCTTAGTTGTTAATAAGAATAAACACAACTTTTAGAAAAGCCACTTTAATCAAAACGTTTTTTTTTTAAATATTTTTAGAAGTAGAATATTTAGGCAAATAAGAAGGGCATTTTAGTAATTCAACTTTTAACTTAAGAGGTTCATGCTTTTAATATATATATATATATATATATATATACACATACATACATACGTACGTACGTACATACATACATACTTGCGCGAAACAAACTATTGGAAGGAGACGTCTGGTCATTATGGCCCTTATGCCTAGAGCGGAACCGATGCAAAATGCATCAGATTTCTAATTTATAACCAAGATGGATTCAGCATTTCAGCTGCTGGATACTTATGTTCCTTCTAGCGACACCATATAGGCAGAATTACTAAATGGTATAGCAATTACTAGGTACAAGACATAAATAGTATACTCTGGACAATGTAAAAGGCCTTGTGTTCCTTTTTGCAAGTGTATGTCGTTCTATGTATCCTTTTGCACAGATGAAGCCTCCATTTACATCTCAGAACTCTATATACAGAAAGGGAAACCACGTTACCCATAAAAGAAAAAGAAAGAGGGAAACCAATTTTATGGACTCAAACAGTTGGCAAACGAGCATCTCGTTGTAGTTTTTTTCTAAATGTGACTCTTTGTGCTCCTGCTTCTTCAAGATCCATGATTTCAAAAAGGGTCCCAAGAGAAGAACTGAAAATCATACGTTTGCACTAGTCGACATTCTTCATACTGAGCTCTGTCGCAGAGGTTCAGTTTCGTGATGGACAACAACCTGATTCTGATGGTTGTTATCAAGAGGCATGTACTGTGACATAATAGCCATAATCTCCGAGTCCATGTATGACTAGATAAATTTAAGAATAGTTAGAATAAAGAGCATGACTATTCGACAAAATTACATTATTGTAAAAAAGGGAAAAAACTGCAGGTGACTACTCGATATGCTTACCCGAAGTCTATATTTGTAAAAAATGTAACAAGCTACTCCAGCACCCACTGCAATGGCTAGGATAGAGAATATAAGGACCCGTCCAACCTTTGATGAGTGCCTTTCTGTACAATGAGGAACAAGGTGAAAGAGTTTAAGTCCATATTTTCAAGAAATGGCATTTTTAAGGGAAGTAGGACATTATACATTTCAAATCAGAGTTCTGCTAACATAAAAGTTGAACAACATTTGCTAATAGTACTGAATCAACTTTTTGTTACCTATACAAGTATCATGCTCCATTATGTACAGTTGATTTCCTTTACACTTGCAATCGTATCCGCCCCATGTGTTCTTACAGCTACAGCCATCACACTGACAAGCAAATCCTGCTTTGCATTCATCTATGTCTGGAATAAAATTGAAAAGAACGGATATGTGATATCAGCACTCTAAAAAATGTGAAAAGAACAAGAGAAATATATAGCTCTCGTGAAAGGATCTAAGAGGAGTGTGAAATACCTTCACATTTATGGCCATCCCCTTGAAAACCAAATGGACACTTACAGCCTGATGGATCTGCCTCCTGCTTCGCAGCAAACAAATTTAAGCACATATAATGGTTGAATCTTTCACGAAATACAGATTCAAGAAAGTAATGATTTTACTGAACTGAGCATGCTGAGAATGTTTCCCCATTTCTGGTTTCTGACCAGCATCCTCCATTGTTTACCGTACACCTTCCAGGTCCAACGGCTGTCAGTTGATAGCAAGCCAGTTAGATGGGGAAAAATAATTTAGCTGTCTAAATTTCAAGAGCGACTAGCAACTCAATAAGCCAATTATCTGTCTAGAATTCCGTATGCCACTAGTAACTCCTAGCAAGAGGACTGCTAGTACGACTCAAAAAGAAAGATTGAGCTCTTAAAAGTATTTCAAGTGGGGATGTAATTCTGGAGTGAAATAATTCAGTAAGAAATATTTTGATGAGATGAGGGGTAACTTCCTAAACCAAGAAAGGACCTGTAAGGAATGTTGCTCGGATCCTCCAAAAAAGGCACATATTTTGGAGGATCCGACAGGGGTGCAGCCACATATTTGGAGGATCCGAGCAACATAGCCTGTAAATTGAACATTAAATACGGAGAAAGCCACTTTGGTTTTGCTATCTGGAACAGCAAATGGGCATCTATATGTTTCTATTTAGCTAATCTTGCAAAGTTTACCGGAGAAGAAAAAGTTAAAACTAAATTCTAGTATATATGTTCACATCAAGTAAACAAGTGAAGTAATACTCCAGGAGTGAATTAACTTGTTTTCAACCTCTACATATAACTAAAGAACAAGAAGCAACACTTTCTTACCTTCACAAGATGTGTATCCATCTCCTTTATACTGAACGCCGTTCACCGAAGGGCACTCACAAACTCTTCCTCTAAAAGTGTCCTTTAAAATAAGTAGATCAAGGCGCAAGCATGAGTCTCATGTTAAAAGTTGTTATATATAACACAATAGTTTTTCGCGAAGGCAATCATTTTTTAAGGATTCAGAGAGCATTATTTGCTATACCTTGCAGGCAGTTACGTTAGATTTTGGATCCCGCCAACAGCCACCATTCCTTTCAAGGCACTCATTTGTTTCAAGATCTATTATACATCGAGTATAAGCAACAATTTAGCATATTCCGATCATTGAACACAATATGCTCTGTAGTCAAGATCATGAAGAATGAAACAGTGTCAAACCTCCGCTTAAACATATCGAAGGTTCAGTTGTTTCCTTAAATCCAGCACATATGGCCTTCAAAACAGCAGCCCTCTCCAATTTTCCTTAAAGAAACAGTAAAAAAGAATTTGAGTACTCAAAGCGTGAGATAAAGAGATCCACAGAGAATAATATATCCCTGGAAAGAATTATCATAGAATAGCTAACAATTAGTTAGTTTACATTGGGCCTTATTTTGCTACATCAACGTCATACCTCGATATTGAACATCATTGACGACCATTGTTGGTAAGATTGTCACATCACCACGAGGTCCTCGGCCGACCTATCAAGGGAATCAAAAGAAAAGTTAAGTTTTTATGTAACATATTCTTGATAACATAGACACAATGTCACCAATATAAGAATAAGAAATGATTAGAGATCTTTAGAAGGAAGAGACCTGGAGATCTTGCTCAGTCTTTAGCACTGTATTTTCTACATTAGCCTCTGGATCACCCATGCATTTCTTTATCTTCTCAACAGGTAAATCTGACGAATCGAATAAAACTCAAAGAATAAGTAACTAAGAGAATAGTAGGAAATATCAGTAGCAACCGAAAACATCTACTTGAAGGAAAAATACCGAGTGATTTCATGACCTCCTCAGCACATTCTTTGCTGTATCTCTTTTGCTTCATTGAACATCTGATATGGAAATCCGTCACATAATCCCACCAAACCCAAGAACGGTTACTCTCATTTGCAACTCTATGCACACAGAGCTGCCTTAAGTTCTCAAAGACAATGTCCTTCCCTTGGTACCCCTCCCCAAAGTCCTGCTCAGGATCAGGAGCGCAATATCTCCCGTGATTTATGCACTGAGATTTGCACTGACTACTAAGAATGAATGCTTCAGGACAGTACCAAGTAATATAGTGAGGCGTGAACATAGTGTAACCGCCCTTTTCAAGTATCTGCGCATGTCCCTTGAAGCTCTTAATGAAATTCATTTGCTCGTCACAGCGAACCCCACACTCATCGTTGCTATTAGTCCACAGCTCGTACTCGACACGCTGATCAGGGTGCGGCATGGACTCTGTCCAATCCATTTTGATCACAACTTTCTCTCCCTTCTTCAGAGCTTCTTTTAATGTGTCGCCAAAGGATTTTCCAATTAAAGCTGAGGGGATTCCAATCTTGTCAATGTATCCATCAGCGTCCGTGCTTTCTTCAGGAGAATCCATAGTTATAAGAGGCTCATCTATGCTATCAGCCACTAGAACTGCAGCAGCTCCAGCTTGTTGCCCATTCCAAACCTTCAAAGCAAAATAGCAGTCTGGAAAAGAAAAGACAGTTTGTTTAAATGTTTAAAGAATATCTAGATATGGATACCATTTCAATATATATGAAATTACATCGTCCTTCTTTTTTAGCCCTTTGTCATTTGTGCATCTTTCTCCCATGCTTTCCATTGGTCAACAACTGACCAAAGTGCTATATACTTCTTCACTAGGCATATCTAGATATGGCGTGTTGTTGTATCTATATCCAAACTTTCTAGTAAATTATGCATAAAGAAATGAATATCCAAACAGTTAGTAGTGGCTGCTAAACTAAATAAATAGATTCAGAAACTTCCTTTAACTCCAAGAAACAGTTAAACAACTCATAAGTCTCTGAGACTAAACGTAGAAGCAAAACTTAAAAAAATGTCAAGTCTCAACAACTAAAGAAATACCTGCAAAAGTCTCTAAGACTTGGAAGCCAATCTTAAAATATGTCACTCTTTCAAAAGTTCTGTTGGTGTTAGTTGAATTCTTCTCTTCTCGTCTACCAATAAATTTCTTTTTCTTTTGTTTGAGACTTGGGAGTGAAAAAAAAAACTAAATTTTTTATCACCTATGCTCTCACTCTCGACCCTACTAATTGTGCAAAAGCCAGAAAGGGAAAATGGAGTACCTGTTTTTGGATGGATAAAATTCATGGAAGAGTATGGTATAAATCATTTAAAAAATATAATCACAGAAGAAGAAAAGAACAAGAAGAAAAATATGGGATGTTGGTATGCATAAGTGAATTAAGACTATAACAAAGGACAATTAAATTCCTTTATCTGCATTATACATACTAACACAACAGTTTGATGCTAGCAGTAAGAATCCAAAAGGAATAATCTTTTTTTTAATGTCCTTTAATTTCACTGATCTTCAGGTGCATCATCTCATATATAGTTTCAAGAATCCCTCAAAAGCAAAGAAAAACGATAGTGGGCAACACTACATCAAATCAAAATCAAACTTTTAAGTAAAAATTACATATCAGAAATTTAAAAAGGTTACCTCCGCGATCAAGAAGAAGAAAATTAGGACGATGAGCCTGGGATTTGAAGGGCTTATCACCATCAAAGGAAGAGCAACCATTGGAATCTTTCTTAGGATAAACAACAGTTCCAACCAAAGAACCTCCATAATCAGGTACACCAAAATTACCAATAGAAGCATCATGCTTTGAGTGCATTGAATAAGGTGATAGAACACTTATACTGTTTTTTTCTACTATAAATGTTGCCTCAATTACAACAACATTCGATACTATCAAGAAAAAAGGTAAAACAACTACTAGGAAAAAGAGAGCAGCCATGTTTGCAGGGTGAAAAGGTACAGAAATAATTTATTTAGTAGTACTACTTGCTACTGGCTTTTTTAATTTTCTGGGGTTGCGGATATAAGTTGAAGAGGTGGAAAGAGGAGAAAAAACCAGATAGTTGCATTACATGGGGTGTAGAAAGAGTCAAGAGAAGACTCTGAGACAGAAGAAGAAGAAGAAGACGACTTTGGAGTTATTGTGTGTATCTTCTTCTTGAATACTTAGTTTAGTTCTTTAATTTGTATGTATGACGTAGAAGAAACGAAAGACTTTTCCGGGTGGAAGGTGGTGGGAAGTAGTCTCAGGAACTACCACGATGGCAACTGCTCCATTTCCCAACTGTCATTTAACATATTTATTTGCTTATCAAAAACATATTTATTTGATTTTATTAGTATGATATTTGGGGAAGAGGATGTGTATCCTTTCTAGGGGAGTAATTAGTTATTACTACTCCCAATTTTCGTGATTAATTTGATTTACACCAAGTTTACGAATTTATGGTGTTAAACATGTTTCATAAATATTTACTATAGTAGCTACAAATACTTCTTATTAAGGATAAAATAAAAATTTAAAAACATAAATTATTTTTAAATATATTATTCTTATGGAACAATCTAATAAAGAAATGATGTCAAAAAGTAGAGTTTGTAATATCTATATACATAATAGTTGTCTTTTAAAGTTTTTACAAACTCTTTAACAACGACAATTAGTAGCCTTAATTGTTAAAGTATTTATTTAAACTTCTCACATAAATAACACTTATCAGAGCAATGAGGGTAGATTCGAAAAAAGAGGTAAAAAGTGACTCCTTTTTTTTTGTCAAAATGACTAACATTTGTGACTGAAAGGAGTATTAATTGAAAATTAGGTTTGATAGCTTTGATTTTTTTAATTCTGTGGAAATATTTTATCCTTTTAATAGTAGGGTTTTAGTTTTATTTCTGTTATTAAAATAAATGTAACTTATGGAGGGTGATAGTGACATGAATTGCCAAATAGGAGTACTATTTTGGAAGAAAAAGTATAATTGTGAAATCATTTTGGTAAAAGGTTCAGTATCATGTACATTTTTCCAGAACTGGTGGAAGAATATAGTAATATTAAGTGTGGATTAAAAAAAAAATTGGATTGGTTTTATTAGGCAAATATTTCCCGTTCTATCTTTGAGTAAATGTAAAGTAATAACCTTTTCATTTCTTCAATCTTAAGATGACAGGTCCACTTTTGTTTCTTTGCTTAGAGCACTTATTATCACCAAACCTTATATTAATTTTTGCTAAATTGCTCTCATGAACTTTTATTTTTCTTTAATGAAGTAAACAAATAAAATATAGCATCACTTATAGAGAAAGAAGAAATTGGCATGCCCCATATCAAGTTGGGTTGGGAATGGCTTTGGAATGGATATATAATGCTTTGAGTACCATATTACGTCCAATATGTACTAAATTTTTAGGTTTAACAAGATCAATATCTAATTTATTTGACAGAAACCAATTAGGAACATTGACCTCTCAACCCTTCCAACAAGATAAAATATTATTCAAGTCGAGTACAGAAAAACAAAGTTGGCTATGGGTGTGTTTGGTACGAAGGAGATACTTTTCTAAAAAATGAGTGATTTTATCACTTAATTTTTTATATTTGGTTCGTGAGTAAAATTTTTTTTTCTAAAAAATATTTTCTAATATTTGATTAATGAGTAAAAATTATGATTTAAAAAAATATAATTATTTACACAAACTATGGGATGGGGGTGTGCGGNTGTTTTCCCTTCTCTTGGTAGGAAAAGAAAAATAGGTTTATGAGAAATATTTTTCAAAATATTTAAGCCAATCAAATATGGGAAAATATTTTCTTTTGTACCAAACACACCCTATAGCTATATCATTTTAGTATTCCTATTAAAATAAAAATAAAACAGTTTAGTAAAATCAAGATATTCTTATCCACTGGTATTTCCCTTCCAAGAGAAGATTTTCTCTTTTCGCCATTTCAATTTCCTAGTAATAGGGAACACCATAATAACAGATAATCCAGAATTATAATAGGTCCAATCTAGAGGGAATTTGCTTCTTTTGTTTTTTGGGGCAAAATGATCATATTCGGGAAATTTCGCCAGCTTATTCTTGCAAAAGTAACTGAATAGGAAAAGAAAAAACCACTTATTTTACGCTATTAGGTCAATGTGATGATAAAGAGAATATAAATAAAATCCTATACAAATAACAACTACAAAAAAGATTGACTTTGCAACTAATGCAATTCATCATGATGATATTCGTAGCTACGATTAAATTATATTGTTATAATAAATCATGTAGAATTTTTTAAACTGTCATTATCACTGCATATAAATTGTTTTGCTTTATTATTCTTGTTTGTTATCTATATCAAGCATCGAGAGATAATTATGGAAGTAGATGAATTTGGAGTTTCTTTTATTCTTTAATTTATTGACTAAATGTTTGAATCAATCAATTATTTCATTTAAAATGTGGAATTAAGAGTCCATACTTAAAATGTTATAGATTAGAAATGTAACAATGGGATATGTAGACTTCGAATTTGCATTGACTCTCAACCCTTCCAACAAGATGGGAAAAACAATATTAAGTACTTTATTATAGTAGAGCAAAAGACTTTACCAGAGACGTTACTCGTTATTTACCTCCCTTGTCTCTTTCGCTCTACTGATAAACTAATAAATTATAACGAGTAGCTTGTTTAGGTGATAGAAGCTTCTTCGCATGAAATAATCATGAGTTGACTCATGAATAAATAAAACACCAATTGATAAATATTTAAAATGAGCTTAATTTAGGTGTTATGTTATTTCTACAAAATATCTTGTAGCTAAATACCTATTCAGAGGTGGCTCAATGTCACGACTCAATTTAGGATCATGACCGGTACCTAGGAGCAAGTGTCCCCAAGTAAGCCTTATCGGTATTTTACAGAAAATCGGACAGAATTTTTCCTGTTTTTGGACTATCCCAAAAATTTCCCTGTCGCAATCAGCAACCAAACATCCTAATATCATACCAAACAATTGACAACTTATCAGTTTACCAAACACAGAAGTCTCCACCATTACTAATCAACTCACTAGCAACCAGAAATACTAATTATCTCCAACTTTGATACTAAAGAACGATACTCAACATAAGACTAATAGCAAAATAATACTCATGACACTAAAAGAATGACTATGGAGTGACTCTAAGAATTCAAAGAAAAGACCATAACAATTGATAAAAATCTCCGCCCACGCGAACAAGTGCGAGCTCACCAAAAATTCTCAATTTGTGCGCTCTAATTAACGAAATCCTCGCCTGCGTCAACTGCTGTCTCTGTAAAAAAAAATTAGCGGGGAATGAGTCGCTAGCTCAGTGAGTAATAACACTTAACCACAACCGTTTTTATTTGGGGACAAGTCAGAAACATGCTAGTATCTCAAAGAGAAAATACATAAACATGCCCTTTTAGAAACAATAAATAATTTTCAGTCTCATCACGCTTTTCTTGTAGTAAAATATAATTAACAATTCAGTAATAAGCTCGGTAACCACTGTATACTATCAGTATTCACATTTTGGGAGGTCTTAATGAACGAATCATGTAATCGGTATAACTGTGGACTTCTTCGCAAGAAGTCAAATATAACGGTAGTCCCTACTCGAGGGAAGTCGGTAACGGTATGCTAGTTCTGCCTTCCCACTAGCGAGGGCTATAACAGTAATCGGTAATTACAAGGTGCACCAGGTCAAACGAACCCGCCGTTAGCTACGAGATCCTTCAATGTCTACTCTAATTTATACTTGTCTCTGTAATCCGTATATACTCGTAGAAACTATTTTAAAACAATATAGGGCATTTCGGTTCTTATAAAATCATATAATTTCCTTTCGATAACAGTAAATTCAAGTAACTGTAAAACATATCTAGTGACATCAAGAATATATAAAACAACGGTAATCATGTCAAATAACTATTCGGTCTTATATCGAGTAAAAGACTTGTCCCACATGCAACTCAAAATAATCAGTAACATATTCATATTAAAAATTATGTGTAAATCATGCAAGTTATGAAAACACAAATTGGGGTAAGATTACTACTCACAATACTCGTGCCGAAATACCAAATGCTTCATCTCAAGCAATTCGTACAAATTCCTCCAATCAATCTATAATTGCATAATATCAATCTCATGTTAATTCTCTTGTTTAGGCTAATTCATGGCTAACTTAGAATGACCAATCATCGGGGTTCCTGTTTGACTCTACTTTGTGAATTTATATTTAATCATAGAACTAGTCCATAATTTTATCAATTTCAAACTAATTAGTATGATTTACTCGTCTAAAATTAGACCTATCCGTGCTTAAACCAAACACTTATAGCCTTGTTATATCCATAGTAATTGTGTATGTGTCTATATATATATATATATATATATGAGAAAATTGATATTGAATTCTTTTGTACTACCTAAATTGTATAAATGCGGTGAAATAATTCAACAGATTGGGGAAGAAGGTTAACCTCTTGGGTCGAAGGAGAGCTTTAATACATTCAATTTCAACTCCCAATTCTTCTTAAGGCCTTTGCCCAAAGCTTTCTTCTTCNCCCCCTTTTTCTTTTCTCTGTTCGTTTTTTATTTTGTTTGTTGCTGCCGACTTGTTTCTGTGGCTTTTTGCTTCAGAAGGGTTTTTGAAAGCTTTTGTTGAAAGCTTTGTTGTTTTACCTCTTTTCATTCCTTTCTAATGGGCTTCGGCCCCTTTTTCATGAATTCCCTCCTTTTCTTTATAGATTGTTTCTTATATTATTATTATTATTATTATAACCATATACACCCTTATTAGAAATATAGGGTATTGCATTCTCCTCACCTTATGAAATTCGGTCCCCGAATTTAACTTAAGTACGTACCTATAGACTGAAACAAATGGAGATACTTTTCTTGCATAACCTTTTCTACTTCCCAAGTAGTTTCTTCAACGGTATGATTTCTCCATATAACTTTAACAAACACAATTTCTTTTGACTGTAGTTTTCTTGTTTGTCTATCAACAATAGCCATTGGCTCCTCCTCGTAAGACAACATCTCATTGAGTGGTATAATCAGTGCTTCAATCACCTGAGATGAGTCTGATATACATTTTCTTATCATTGAGACGTGAAACACTGGATGAATAAAGGACAACTCAGGAGGAAGTGCCAAACGATAAGCCACAACTCCCACTCGGTCTAGTATCTCATACGGTCCTATAAACCTGGGGCTCAA